TAAAAAATTATCTTAAAAAATGATTTTTCCATGTGACAAACCTGTTGATGGTGTGCTTTAAAAGGGTCCCACTTTTCTACATATCTGAGCTTCTGCATCACCACAGAGTTGCCGCCACGTTGCATATAATTTCCGATTGATTGGGACATCGGCTTGGTCGACACATCCTGGGATGTTGCTGTCGGCTTGGTTTCATGCAGACCGCTCACGTGGCGAAGAAGCATTAAGATTCAGGAAACATGATTGCGATCTCCCCAACAGAGGATATGTCCAAGCCCAAGGACAGATATTATAGCGTACGCTTGCCAATTCCTACTCAAATTTGCGCCTTCAGATTGTTGAGCAAAAATATTGCCAAAATAAAAAGAGATGCGATAATAATATAAATAGTTTAATGATAATATTTTTTTTATTAAAAGTGAAAATTTTTTAATTTAAATTATATAATATATAAGTAAAACAAAATAAAAAATAAAAAATATTTTTTTGTTATATTAAAAAAAAATATATATATATATATATATATATATACACATATATATTGAGCAAAATGGTAATCAGGGACTGAAATTTTACATGTAAAATTGAACCAGCATAATTTGTGAAGTTCTAAAGGCGCTGATTGAAACGATTTCAAATCTAGTAAATCTGACTATAGATGCATCTATAGGTATGGTAGCTCCTACACAAGTTAACGTGTGAATATCACCTCATTTCTTTTGAGAAAATGAGTGAATAAAGGAACAAACTTTATTTTTTTTATTCAAGGGTATAAATTTTTTTATTTTTAAATCAATAATTTTTATTTTTTATTTATAGATATAAATTTTATTATTTTTTATTTAAAAATATAAATTTTGTCATATTCTAATTAAAATTATTGTTTGTGATGTCATTAACCTCATCTAATAAATTTTTAAATAGTAAAAACACAAAATTCATATTATTAGTTAAAATAAAGTGAAAATTTATCATCTAATTTAAAAACTTAAAAAATTCGTATCATCATTCAATAAATTCTTAAATTAGAAAAAATATATAAAGTTTGTATTCTTATTTTGAGAAATGTAAAGATTTACTAACTAATTTAGAAACTCAAAAAATTCATATTCTTAAATAGACTAATGAAAAATATTGTATACTTATTTGTATCTTTTTTCCATTTCTTTTAGGTTATATTTGGTGTGGTCATAATATACTCTTTCTTGTATTTTATTTCTGCCTGAGCTTAATTTAATCATATATTTGTATGGATGTAATTTCTTAACCTATACCACGAGATAACATTCCTTAATGTTGTAAATGCCCAAATGACTTCTATGTTAATGAAAATATTTTAACTTAGTTAATAAAAAAAAAAAAACTTGAATTCTGCCATACAAGTATCATAAGTAATCTAATAATATTTGTTTTTTTGAATAAGAAACCTCAAATTTGAATCACAATCATCCAAGTGACGTGAATAAAAAAATAAAAGAAATTGATCTCTTATTGAGCAATTTAAAATAAAAAAATAAATAAGAACTTTACTTAAACATGTAATAATTAAAAAGGAGATAAGGTTGTAAAAGATAAACCAAAACATCATCCAAATGCCCAAAACAATGTGGTTTTGTTGCTGGTATTTTTTTTAAAAGAAATTCACACATTAAACTGTATCGATAATATCTTAGTGCAACAATTGGCATGCCAAAATTTGATCGAAATACCTTGTCTGACTGAATCCAAAAGAAAACCCATAAAAAGTTTTAGATTAGGCATAGCCGGTACAAAACAGAATCAACAACCTTGGCAAGAAATCCAACTTATTGATGTGCCAGCGTAGCATGCCACATATTCCACTAGAAAAGGAAGATACATAGGCTCGGGTCGTGGGAGATTGAAGAGGCTTAACAGAGGGCTAGCACCATCCTCGGGCAAGAGGAAGGATGAAAAGGGAAATGGAAATAGCATACAGAGAGAAAAGCAGAATGCCAAAATTCTAGTTGATAGCTCGAGTACGGTAATGGTGGTGATGAGAGGGGATTTGGATCCTCCTCAAGGCTAGATTTTCTGTAAAGATTGACTCATAGTGGGCGAGGATTGTTACGTGTCAAAATTTTGGTCTTTCTTAACTTTCGGTGATGTAGATACAATTATTTTAAGCTTATAGATGCTCAAATAGTATAAACTCTTTCTTTGGCGGATCAACATTCATGTGATGATTACTAGTATAAAAGACTATAAGTACTGGTCACTATCCATATCTGCTCGATCTAGGATCAGCCACAGAAGATCAAATCTTGATAGAAGGGCTGGAGGGAGATTGATATTTTCATCCGGGGTTCTACGTAGGTCATATCTTCCCCTTCAAAACAAGTTGTGAATCAAGAATAAAATTAATAAACTAGATCATGCATATAGAGCACTCAATACACGAAACATAGGTTTCAAGTAAGCCCTTTTTATGGTGGGAAGATAAGAAAGAAGTAAAATGATTTACGGAAAATAAGAATAACTTTGAGAAACATTAGAGGATAGAGAGGCAATTACCAGGCAGGATTTGCAGCAGCAAGAATTGCGGTTCTTGCATTAAGAGATGTGGTGATTCCAGCCTTAGCAATACTGACAGTCTGCTGCTCCATAACCTCATGTATTGCTGTTCAATCAGATTCGTCCATCTTGTCAAACTCATCAATAGCACATATAACCATATCTGCCAATACCTGAAACCAAGTGGACATACTTCATTTAACCACAGGAACCTATGGTAAACAACTGGATCACAGAACTCATATTCAAGATAACTTCAAGGGATGAATAAAATAACTGGAGCTGGTATACTGACTCAAATTTATAATAATTAACAGAACAAATTATGCAGCATAACCAATGCAGCAGACAGATTGGTGTATTTAGTATGGCACAAACTTGATGCAGTTTGAGCAGCCATATTCTTCTAAGCCAGCTCATACTCATATTAACTATAATATCAGCAGCTAAACAACTAAATTGTTACGCAAATAATTTCTCACCAATGCTCCCCCTTCCAAGACCATTTCATTTGTTACTGGATCTTTTTGAACAGCCGCTGTTAAACCAACTCCACTGCTTCCTTTGCCACTGGTATACACCCCTCTAGGTGCCACATTTATTATGTGCTTGAGAAGTTGACTTTTGGCAACCCCAGGATCACCCATCAAACATACATGTAGATCTCCTCTAATCTGCAATCCAATGAAGTAATGCATTAATAGCCAGTCTCAATGACACAGCACAGAAGAACACATTTAAACTTGTCAAAACCATTAACACAAGCCTCAGAGTAATCATTTAAACCAAAAAAAATGAGAACATAACAAGGAAACAAAGCCTTTCAAGATGGAAAAGGACAGAGAAATGAAACTTTTCAGCCTGATTGCTTAAAACCAGAATTCATCTTAATAAATGAATGATAGACAGAGGCCACATTTCTTTGATTTAAGTGTATTACTTAAGATAATGATGACTCAAAACACCCAGAACTCATATTAGAAAAGAGGAAAAATTGACCTTCATCCCATCCTTTAGTTTCCGGTGAGGAGCACCCACAAGAAGAAGAAGCAGAGCTTTTTTAATATCTTCATGTCCATAAATTTCAGGTGCTAATGACTGTTCCAACTCGTTATAAATATTACCATCCTCAGCTAAACAAGCAATTTGCTCTTCCTCCTCTTCCCCAAGTTCATAACTGCAATAGAGCATATATGAGTTTATCCACTAAACTGCTTAGGATTCAATTGAAGTAATGAAATATATAATCAGAAAGCATTTTATTTAGGAATTTGCCATAACATTACAGACCCTCTATGACAAGCATATTCATTCAATTTCCAGGATAAGTATGAGCAGAGGCATATCCATGACCAATGTGTTGTTAGTTTAACAAATATCCCTCCCTTTCACTTTCCACCATTATCCTAGACAAGATTATGTGGAAGCATACACACTCTCTACATCAACATATAAGAAGGGCAATTTCAGTTCATCAGAAAAAAAAAAAAAAGGACAACAACAACAACAACAACACTTGGAAAGAAGGAAAGACTTCTAAATTTCTTAAAATTCATGCTGTTTTGAAAGCAAACATGATTATGAGATGCAGGGAGTAATTATGCTGTGGAATGGATGTAAATCTGTCACTTAAATCAATCAGGTGATTCTTGCCTCAGTGATTCTTGGGATGACAGTTTGTTCGATGAAAATGGAAAGTTGAGCCAGCACCAGGACAAGCCCAGGGAGAACTTTGTCACCATGTGATCCCTCCTCCGTCAAATTTTGATCTTGACTTAATGCGTTGTTTCTCCCAGAAAGCATGTGGAAGCGGTGATCAAGTGACCTGAAGAAGTCATGAAAACCTTCTTGAACCCAGTCAATTACCAAATCTCTTAGTTTAACTACTAGCCCTAAGTCATCATCCTCAAGTAGATGGCGAAAGTCCTGGAATAAACAAACAGTTTAAGAAACAGAAAACGAAAACTGAAAATGAATGAACGTATATAATAAATTCTTGTCCAAAGAGAATGACATGTAAGAGATGCAATTAGAAACAACCAAATAAACAGTGATGATGATAACATAAAATTGAACTTGTTAGAAAAAAAACAAAGCATTTACTAAAACGCTAACAGCAAGTTTTCAAAAGAAGAAAATTATTTCAAGCACATCTAAATATACACCATTCATGTGCATCCAAATACAAGAGAAAGATTAAGAAAACATGAGAACTGGACCAGGCCCAAAAAACCACACAGGTTATGAAGCCCTGGACTGTTTCTTCATGCATCATGCATGCAAAACGAGTCTCTCTGCATCTCATGAATTACCAGTAACACATCCATGCTGCCTTAAAGCACCACTTTTTTGCTTCCTTCCAGGGCAGCTTGCAATGAGTACTCTTCCACTTCATCTTTTTGTCTACTATTGACCTTCATAACAGCATCTGCAACATATGGGGCCAGACATGTAAGCCCATTTTAGTTGGATTAATGTAAGTGAAGTCAGAAGCCATCAAATCGATAATATCAATGCATGTCTATGGTATATCTCTTACTGCTACTATCCTTTTCCTAAGGAACTCTCAACTTAACATGTAAATAAAAGCAGTAACAAGGCAGCTATGAATGTCAATATTCATACGTGACTCTATGTTATGGGCTGGGCTTTCTTGCAGTTTTGTTATGTTTGGCATCCAAGGGATAAAGAATTGCTAGTGACTAGGAGTCCGAGTATAAGAACTCAGGAGAGCGAATATATTTTTTTATGACGAAAATTAGAGTTTTCTTGTCTCATTTTCATACTTTACCCTTTATTATTATCAATGAATCTAATTCATCCCGCTGTCACAAATCATGAAGGTTGTTGCTTCTAGAAGTTACTGAAAGTAACATTTAAACTGAAATAGGGTTTTTCATTCTTGATCCATAGGTGAGTTACCATCCGCCTTATGATGTAGTTCTATATCAGTAAGGATTACAGTAGTCCTTTGAAATCAAATTGCAGAATTCATTAAAGTCGGCATTGTTATTTTGCAAACGAATTCATTTCCTCAAATCCAGAGAATTACCATCTTAATTGCTGAGTTCAAAATGTCACTAGGATGTAGGATCTCTCTTAATTCTAGCAAACCTATCTTAAAATGTGTGGAAAGCATATACTTTAGAGCCTACTAATTAATCAATTTAGTAATTGTCTTTCTGATTATGGTACTTTCCTAGTCATATTAAGGGTGAATCTCACTGTAAAACGATTTCTCCTTAATTTAAAGCCTAACCAGATTCTTGACCACAGAAGGAATACTCTGAAACCCAGTATGTCCTATTGTTGCTATTTTTGGGTATTTGAAGCTCCAAAAGGACAAAAACAAATTTTGGGTGACAGTGACAATAGAAAGAACCTGATATATCTTGTAGAAGATGTGAAAATGTGCTGATGATATACTCTCTAACAGCAATCGGGGCAGCCTGAAACCACATAGGGTTGGTTAATAGTCATTATACCATTTCCATCTATCAGTATGAATAGAAGTACATTTCCACTTATGAAAGGAGAAAGAATTTTAGGAGAGAATCTAGAGATCAAAAAGGTAAAATACAAGTGAAAAGAAATTAAGTAGAGATCATAATGAGTATAAATACAAATGAAATTCAAAAGAGAATGACAACCTCCAGAGAGAAGTCAGGAAGAACAGCCTCGTGCAATACATCATCCATCAGAAGCACATCTGTCCATATAATTCCTGCATTTGAAAAAACAAATTTAAGTCACAAAAGAAAAGGTCCAAATGCAAAACCCAAAAGAAATTCTATTCATCCTCTTTATCGAAGCTGAATATAGATGATTTCAAAAAGAACCCAAATTTAAAGAAAATAGATCGTATCCAACAAATAGCAAGCAACCAAACGTTAGTAGTGTCAAGCTCAAGCACCTATATGCTCATGAACTTGAACTATTCTCACAGGTTGAAGCAAATGTTCAACAGGTAAGAGGATTAAAAGGTGCTCTCAATATTGGCATTTAACAAGTCTATGCGTAAGATCAAATCATCCCTGAAAGGACACTAAACCACTTACAGCACAAGGTTTTTAAGATCTCTTTCCTTTTATAATTTGCTAAGAAAAATTCCACTCTACAAAAATAAAAAAATACAATCCAAAATATTTTCCGTTGTAGACCAGACAGGCATAAAAATGAATAGAGAAAGATCAGTCAGAGAGATACAAAGAAACCATCATTTTTGGAAAGAACTGCAAGCAATACAGTGAAAACATCAAGCCTACAGTCAATATCGAAAAAAGATAAATAGCTTATCTGAACCTATAAAAAGCTTGTGGGAGTTTCCATTTCTTTAGTAGCCAATTTGAAAAACTATGTTGGGAGCTTTAGTTAACCAGTGAGAAGTTTATTGGTTGTTTGTAATTGTTGCCAAA